CAGTACTCCAACTGCGGTCTGACCAGTGCCCGATAGAGGGGAAGTATCACCTCCTTGGTTCTGTTCCTCATGCATCTGCTGATGCACGATAAAGTGCCATTAGCTTTTCTGATGGCTTCGTCACACTCACGACTCATGTTCATCTTGGAGTCCACTAGGACTCCAAGATCCCTTTCCGCTTCCGTGCCACCCAGCAGGTCATTCCCTAGGCAGTAGGTGTGCTGAACATTTTTCCTCCCTAGGTGCAGCACTTTGCATTTCTCCTTGTTGAACTGCATTCTGTTGTTTTCTGCCCATTTGTCCAACGTATCCAGGTCTGCTTGCAGCTGTTCCCTGCCCTCCGGCGTGTCCCCTTCTCCCCACAGTTTTGTCTCATCCGCAAACTTGGACAGAGTACACTTCACTCCCTCGTTCAAGTCGCTGATGAAGACATTGAAGAGTATCGGTCCAAGGACCGAGCCCTGCGGGACCCCACTGCCCACACCCTTCCAGGTCGATACCGACCCATCCACCGCGACTCTCTGGGTGCAACCCTCTAGCCAATTCGCCACCCACCGGACTGTGTAGTCATCCAAGTCACAGCCTCTTAACTTGTTCACCAGTATGGGGTGGGATACCGTATTGAAGGCCTTCCTGAAGTCTAAGTATATGACATCCACCCCTCCTCCTGTGTCCAGGCGTTTTGTAACCTGGTCATAAAAAGAGACTAGATTAGTCAGGCATGATCTGCCTGCTACGAACCCGTGCTGGTTTCCCCTCAGCATAATTTGTCCTATATTTGTCCGTCCCCTCAGCATAATTCGTTCATATATAGTAAGCATTTTCAACTATTTAAACTGTCACATACCAGCACTGACTAACTTTGTTCTCAGAAATGCTGAAGCCCAAGGCAGTGGAAGGCACAGAATCAACAAGTCCTTTCCAAAACAGGATCATCCAAGTAGGCTACATGCTTGCAGTGGTGCTGGGCAAAAAGACAATGTGCATTTCATTTTAAGTTAAGCTTTAATATGTCAGAATAGCAGTAATGGGCAGTGCTGATGTGAGAATTTAAGGCTGGGATGTGGACTGGTATAAAGGAGCTCTGGCTTGAGTTCCTGGTTCTGCTACACACCACTCTGGATGACCACAGGCAAGTCAGTCAGCTTCTGTGTCCTCTTTCTCCATCAAAAAATAGAAATGAAGCCTTGAGATACAAAGACAAAAGTATTGTTTGTGCTAGAGATTATCAGTTGGATGCTTG